TCAGTCTAAACATTCCCAGTTTTTTCAATGGTTCTTCACATTGCATAGTTTCCAGACACTTCATGTGAACATGAAGCTACCTGTCAGTAAGTGTAGCTGTCAGTAAATGTAGCCCAAGACTTTAGATTTGGTCTCACTGACTCTACTGACAATGGGATAATTATTATCTGGGGTCTGGAATGTTCTCTGTGTTTAGGGAACCTAACAGAGCGTTAGCTTTAGTGACAGTCACACTGTTAACTTATATCTTACTTTGTGTTCTAAAATCTCCAGGTCTTTTCATGTGAGAGAAATAATGGAGCATTGGAACCCAAGAGACTGATATCAGGTCCAGGGTAGTTATAGCCTACATAAACAGTTCAGCTTTGACTTGTGGAGGTTAGGGTAACACCAGCATAAGAAATGAGAATCTAAAGAGCTGCCTTTAAAAATCAAGGAAACGAAAAATGACATGAGACCTACATAATAGGTTACGTTTTGCAAAAGCACAATTTTATCTTAGTCTTATAAAAATGTCTATGAGCAAGATCTTTCTATGTCCATTTTATGGGAGAGAAACCTGAGGCTCCCAGAGGTTGAGTGATTTGACTAAGGTCATTCAGGTAAGGAAGAAAATTGGGCTTGGGCTCCATTCACCACACCATGGCAGTCTGCACATATTTTCCCTCAAGCTGTCTCCCAACTTCCTATCTTGTTTTCAGGATACCCTTTCCAGGATACTTCTCCCCCTCACTTTGGCAATTATCTAGAATTTCCCTGATTTCTCCTCTATCTTCAAAGTCTTCTGCTCAGTCTGCTGATACTTCATAATGAAGCCCTGAATCCAGTCTTCTAAAAGAAGCCTCCTGTGTCCATCTTCATCTTGTCCAGTTCACGCAGTTTTACCTCTGAACTTCTGGATAGCACATCACGTACCACCTTGGGTTTATTTTCATTTGCCACATCTTATATCCTTTACCAGATTGACACCATGCCTGATACATCTTTATTTGCCCCACACATAGAACAGTGCTTTTATCAAAAGCATTCGGTTGTTTGGTGATAACTGGTGCTTAATAAACATTTGCCTGATATTTCACATCATAAAAATTGTCAGACTAGTTCTAAGTTCTCTCATAATTTAGGTCTTCCTTTATATTCTTTAGCTATTGAGATTAATATCTACAATGTTATATCTCAAGTTGGCAATACCCTTGACCTTGAGATAAAAAATATAAAATTTAAAAATATTTTCCTCCTTGCTAATTTAGGATTTGAAGTACTGATTTATTTGTTTCCTCAGGTCCCACCTCCACTTGTGATTGACCTACTCTGGGAACTTCTTCAGATGGCCAGGATCACCTTCATGTACCTGTTCTCTAACAGGCTCTTCACTTCAGTGCAGGAAGTGTCTAGAGAAATATGGTGGGCATGAAAGTAGCCCTGGTGACCTTGATCAAGGGCTGTAAAGCACAGAATTCTTTAGGCTTGGGAGACTTTAGAGAATACTAGTCTCAATGACAAGACACTGAGGCTCAGGGAGATGATCCTAATTATAAAGGCCAGCACCAGAATCCAGATTTCCTGCCCTGGTGCTCTTTTCCTTCACGTTTGACTATGAGCTGTTAACTGGTGTATACATACACGTTAGTCAAAGTGCTTCTGGAAATAGAATTTGTCCAAAGTCAGGTCAATTTCAGAGACTTGATCTCATTTTCTAATGCAATATGGGAGAAGGATGTCATATTACTGTTTTAAAGAGCCCAATGTGAGAAGTATGTTGGTATGTGCACCTATCAGAGGATAATGAAAATATTGGTGTTTAGCTAATATTTTATTTTTGTGTGTGTCCTCTTTTGCTGCTTTCCCACTTTCCCATCAGGTGCAGAAAGTAGAACTATCCAAAACTAATTTCCTCTGACATGTGATGAACAATTCATGTAGCTAAAAACAGTAGTCAGGTTTGAGAGGGATAGTCTAGTTTAACGATTCACAATGTACTGGTTCATATTGGACTGATAGCCCCTTTAAATGGCTTTATACTATTCTGACCTCATTTGTAAAATATGTACGAGAAAGTTCTCATTTAAAATGAGGTAGTACTTTACTGTGAATGTACTTAGCAGTAAGCTATGCTCAAATGACTAAGGTGACAGAAGTGTTTCATAAGGTCTCCTTAGATCCCTAAAGCAGCTTTTCCTCCTTGGTATTTCTGGATCATCCCCAGAGGACTGAAAGGAAGAAGTACCCAACTGCTGTTCTTATGTCACTCATGACTCCTCTTTCTCTGAAACTGCCCTTCACACTTGTGGGCCCAACTTAAGCCGGGGCAATCAGACCGTCTCATCCGAAAAATCTGCAGCTGAACATCAAGATATGACATTTCTCAAATGTGGCTTGATTTTAAATGTTTAATGTTGGTAACAATAAAGGGTCTAGATTCTGGTATACAGCCTAAGAAACACAAATATACTTTTAGATGGTGCTCTTAGAACTGAATCACTTTAGAAAATAAAGGTAGTGGGCTGATAAAAATTTAGAGCAAAGGAACAAACAACAAAAAAAACATGAATTGCTGCATTTAGTTAAGATTCATAATCCTTAGACATGATCAAAAGGAGACCTCAAGAAGTAATTACGCACAAAATAGGACAAGGCTTAGAGAAAGCCATTACCTTTCAAATAAAGTATATTAAATTATTGCTTATTACAACTGATGTATTATTTTTTCAAAGTTATACTTTTATTATTCTATACTGTGATATGAATAAAATTATTTTTAAAAGCAACTATCTAGTCTTATAACTTCTAGTTGAAAGTTTTCACCTATATGTGGGTGTGAGTAAAACAATAAACAGTTTGACTAATTGCCAATGTGTCAGCAATTTATGAATGGGATAATTAAGAAAAACTATGGAGTGTGGCAGTAATATGTAAATCATGGTACCAGTATGGTACAGAGGTTCCCTTATTCTTGTAACTACCATTATTTATTATTATGAGCATACTTCAAAAAGTTCATGGAAAGATTCATATTATCTCTTAATTCTATTTGGCCACAAACTTTCTGCAGTGCCCTTGTTATGTAATGCCTTGTGTGACGGCATTGTGCTAGATGTTTTACATACATCATTTCACTTAATACCCACTTTTGTGGGGGCTCAGGGGCGGCGGGCCCCGAACCTCCCAGTAGCCCCTTTTATCCCCCCACCAGGGGATGAGCAAGAGAGGGAACCGGTAGGATTATTCCTGCCACCCTAGTGGCCAGGAGAGCCCGGGAAGAAGGTGAGTCTGCCGCCTGGCTCTTCAACCCACAGAGAGACACTCAGACACGGCAGGGGTTCCGTCAAGCAGTTCCATTTATTTTCACTCAAGCACCTGCTTTTATAAGCATATGGCAAGGGGATTTCCTAACTTCAACCTATCATCTTAAAGGTCATGTGAACATGCATCTTGCTCTAATGCTTTGCTATTGCAATCACGCGGTGAGCACGAGCGCAGAAATATCTTTTATCCAATAATTTTAAACTATGTCTTTCCTTGGCCACTCCCCGGCGGCTTCCGTCAGATGCATCTTTATCTCTCCTGTCCAGGCGAATGTTTTCAACAGATGACATACGCGTATGTGGGTGGGGTTGTGGCTAGTTCTCTGCCTCGGGAGGAGGTGTGTGGCCTCAACGCCCCAACACACTTTGAGGTACAAGGGTACTTCAAAAATTTCATGGAAAAGTAGAATTAAAAGATAACACAATCTTTCCATGAGCTTTGTGAAGTACCCTCATAGATAGTATTTCTTTTGCCAAGTGAGAGGCTTTGCTTTGGGTCACATGGCTGCTAGGCCACATGGTTAGGATTCAGAGCCAGTGGTCTCCCTCAACAGCCCATGGTTTTAAGTACGACACTATGCTCTTCACAAACTTATTCCTGTGGAAACAGTATTCTCCACGTATAAACAAGTCTAACATCAAAATAAAATACTAGTAGTTTTTTCCCCTCAATACACTTGTCATTTGTTTCCTTCTCATTTACTAACAGTTAAAATCTGCAGGACAGCTTCCTTCTCAGGCAGCAAGCTCCTGCAGTACAGGGACTACGGATCTACTCTAAGTAACTTCTGCATACGACAGCACAGATAGTTTGTCAGCAATTCTAAGAGAGAAAAACAAAGTTGGACTGTTTCTTTAATAATGTTCGGGCCGGCCCGGTGGCGCTGCTTGGGAGCGCGGCGGCGCTCCCGCCAAGGGTTCGGATCCCATGTGGAGACCGGTTCCCACTCACTGGCTGAGCGCCGGGCGGGCGCAACGCCGAGGGTTGCGATCCCGTTACCGGTCAGTAAAAAAGACAAAAAAGGAAAAAAAAAAAAATAATGCTCATCTACTTCCTTTTTGTTAAATTTATATTTTATTTCAAATTGCACAAGAATCATCTTTGATTTTTATTTTAAAAAAATGAAACACTATTACACATTTAGGCCCATACTGCTTCCAGGATCCAAGGGCACAAGGGTTTCACAGACCATTTGCCTTATCTGGTTATTTCCTCTTCTCCTAAAGCATCCTTTTAAAGTACTACATGAATGGGCCGGCCCGTGGCTCACTCGGGAGAGTGTGGTGCTGATAACACCAAGGCCCCGGGTTCAGATTCCATATAGGGATGGCCGGTTGGCTCACTTGGGAGAGCATGGTGCTGACAACACCAAGTCAAGGGCTAAGATCCCCTTACCAGTCATCTTTTTAAAAAATAAAAATAAAAAACAAAAACAAACAAACAAAAAGTACTACATGAATAAATATAATACCTGTAGAATTTGACTTTAATCTTTTGGAAAATGTTTTATTTACTACTGTAAAATCCAGGGGAAAAGAAATATATTTATATCGCTATCTACACATACACACACACACATACATGAGTGCACTTCAAAAAGTTCATGGAAAGAACTGTATTATCTTTAAATTCTATTTTTCCATGAACTTTTTGAAGTACCCTCATATATGTAGATTGATAGATTAATACGTATATAAGGGTGTTTTTTAAATTTAAGGATAAGTAAAGTGACAGTACAATAGTCCCTTTCTTGGTTTAAAAAAAAAAAAAGAGCAAATGACTGCCACCACAGGTACCAGTGCTTACATTTGTCAGCAGGCTGACAAAAGAGTGGCCTGACTGCTGGCATTCAATAGACATGGCAACATGGCTCCTATCAACTCTCCAGTGAGTGTTGAGTCCAGAGCATTTTCAGTCTTTGTCTTGTGTATCCCTTGTTGAAGCGTTTCTAGGAAGATCCAGCAGTGCTTCAATTTTCTTCACATCATCCTCATATTGATTTTTCTGTAAGCTACTTTCAATTTCTTCAGGGAAGATCTCAGTAATTTGTAGTCTGGCTTTCCTGTAATCAAAGAATAAAAAGGATGTATCAAGGATAGGATTTGTCTTACTCTCCCTGCTCCGGCGTCACAACTTATGAGCCAACACTACTTCTTGCACTTCAAATACAACAGCTTTCTTCTCTCTCTTAACCTGTTCCACTCACAAGCCAACTATGACTCCCACATTACCAAAACAGACACTGTTGTAGCAGCAGCTCTGATCCATATGATATTCCTGGATGCCAGGTCCTGGAGTTCTGACAGGGATGATGTGCGGGAACTCAAACACCCTGCACTCTAAAGGTGTGAGTCACAAAGCCTGGCTGTCCTCTTGCTCTTCGGGCTGGGGAAAAGTGAGCACCCTGCCACTCTAAAACTCTGTTGCCAGACCTTGTAGGAACTTGACAAAGGGTAGAACAATGGTAATCAAGCTACAGAAAAGTCAGATAGGACAACACGATAGATGTAAATAATAGACCAGTTCTTTTTCTAAATTAACTATTAGTGTCTTCCTTTAAGTGATTATCAGGATCATCTATAATTTTCTTTACAACTTTTCACAACCGGATTTGAGCATTTTGTCTTCCATATCTTTACAGCCAGTTTTCTACATTTGCTGCTCATTAAGGCAATTTTTTAAGACTCTTGTTAAATTTCCCTGCATTATTTTCAAGCAAAGAAGCAGACACATAGAAGGTACTTAAACTTTTATTGAATTAACTCTCCTTAGAAATATCACACACACACACAGACATATATAAACACATATACGTATATATAAAAGCTATACGTTTTCAACACTGTTTCCTTCTGGCAAAGTATTCTTTCAACACTATAATTCAACTTATTGTTTTTAGCCATTCTTAAGGTTTTCCATCTTAAGTTTTCCCCCCATTTCCTTTTTTATTGAAATAGTTATTTGTTCATATTTTTCCAAATGTTAATTCTTCTATAACATCTTATATCACAGTCAAATAGCCAATATAATTTCCTTATCTTTCTAACCTCTTTCTTAAAACTTGTTTTTTAAAAAACTCCCTTACGAAAGACACCTAGAAAACTAGAAATAAGCTAATGCTTTCATGCTTTTGATACTCCATAATTTCAAATTTTGTTGGCATTCTGGATTTCATCGTAGAACCTAGTTAACTGCATGCCCCGCCTGCCCTCTTACCATGAAGAAGAAGGAGCAAAACAAACGTACAGTGAGCTCTGTGGTATGATTTTGCACCTAGAACAGCTGAAAAAACTGAGGGTTTGAAGTTAAGGAAAATATCTAAGGTCACAGAATTGATTCATAGTCCATCTGGAATTCAGTTTTTGTTCCATTGGCTCCACGATCAATACTTTTTCTCCTATAGCACTTAAGTCCTTGGACAACAGACCCACAGATATGAAGAATTTCCATGTGTATATGTGTGTGTTTAGCACAAATGAAGGTCTCAAGAAAAACACTGGAAAAAATGATTTCTCATCTATCCAAACAGCAGCAGCAGGAGTAGATGTCATCTTAGGTACCCAGGAAACAGAACTGTGAGACTCATTTGTACTCAGGAGCACTAGATGGCAGCCTGTTATATGTTGATCGTACACAGAATTTGCACAAAGTCTGTTACAGTCTGATAACTGTATCACAGAATGGAGATTACTGTACCCTAGGAAATGACTAGATGAAACAGGCCAAAGTCTTCATGCTCCTCAGTGGCATCCACTCCATGACAGCCTCTGTGCCCACCTAATTCCTCTGTGTCTACAGCAAGAAGTAGTATTTTTGAATATGAAGATTTAACATGCTCTGTATTGTTTATAGATGCATGTATAAAAGAGGATAGCACCTTTTAAATAAGCCAAGTAAAGCTCACTCCTTTAAATGGAACGTGCATTCCCTTTAGGTAATTTCCTAGGCAGTCAAGAACATAGGAAAAGAAAAACTGTGCAACTGAATGAGATTTAGAACATTTTAACTTAAAAAAAAATATCTAAAGAAAGATCCTCAGCAGATTAAAAATCAAATTAGTGTCTTTTATTTTACCACTCTCCTCAATTAAATAGATTAAAGGACCACATAGGGTACGAGTTGAAGGACTCAGTAAAAATCAACTCTTCTTTGAATGGAGTGGCAGTTTAGCATACTTGGGTTAACAAGCACCACTATATGAGGCCTGTGGCTAGGAAAGTCAGATTCCCTCATCTCAGCATGCTCCTTACCACTCTTCCATTTTCAGCTCATGGAGCACCTTTCGATCCTTCTGTTTTCTCTCCTGAACAGTCTCACCACAGTACTTCTGGAGTGCCATCAACAGGCTTCCTATGGGAGTGCTAAAGGAAAAGCAGAGAGAAAGCTTAGGAAAAAAGAGCCATTAGACCATGCACCATATGAGTGTATCTGCTAATGCATGAGCCATACTACTGAGCCACTTTTTCACTATCAAGTATAGGAACATTTGACAACAAAAGCATCCTTGTTGGATAAAGAAAAAAATATTGCCGCAATTTTCTTCATGGTCTGCAAGCAGAGAAAAACAATCACTGCAATGTGCTAAAGTTAACTAAAGTTAACAGATCTACGAATTGGTTCTGTTTTTTTATCATGAATGAGATATAAGCCAAGACAAAGACAGAAAATATGTATATTTATGACAAGTTCTAGTAAGTAGCTCCATACTGAAGGTTTCTCAGAAATAAAATTACTAGTTCAGAATGATACCAGCTCCCCTAGGGGACAGGAAATGTGGAGGACATTTTTGGTTAGGGGAGGGATGCTACTGGCTTTTGGGGTGGAGCCACCAAAACATCCTAAAATTCAAGAGTCTGACACAATTGTCTCACCTGCAATGCCAACAGTTACCCATTGAGAAACTGATTTAGATAACAATTATTATAGTGATGAAGACAGTTTGGTTCTTCTGTTCTCAAAGAAAAAGTTTTTGACTTTGATATAACTTAAATTCCCTCTGGCTACAATTAAGTAACCTCATTTTAAAAACTTATTTTTGCTAAGTGGAAGCAATCCAAATGTTCATCAACAGATGAATGGATAAAGAAAATATGGTACATGCATACAATGGAATATTATGCAGCCTTAAAAAAGGAAATCCTGTCACATGCTATAACATAGATAAACCTCGAGGACATTAAGTGAAAAAGTCACAAAAAGACAAATACTGTATAATTTTACTCATATGAAGCATCTAAGGTAATCAAAACATACAAAGATGATTGCTGTGAGCTGGGGGAGGAATGGGCAGGGGAAATTTGTGTTTAATGAGTACAGAATTTCATTTTGCAAGAGGAAAAGTCCTAGAAATCTGTTGCACAACAATGTGAATATATTTCACTACTAAATTGTACACTTAAAAATGATTGAGATGGTAAATGTGTTTTTTACTACAATAAAAAAGAATTATTTTTGCTGCTAACTTCAACTTTTCCCTTCAAACCAAGCTGGCATATTAATACTAACACTACAACAAAAATAATGTCAGCAAATGTATTATGACATGATGAATTTTTTTAAAAATTCAAAATAAAGGGCTGGCCCCGTGGTGCACTCGGGAGAGTGCAGCGCTTGGGAGCGCAGAGGCGTTCCCACCGCGGGTTTGGATCCTATATAAGGATGGCCGGTGCGCTCACTGGCTGAGCGTGGTGCGGGCGACACCAAGCCAAGGGTTGCATCCCCTTACCGGTCACAAAAAACAACAACAAAAAAATTCAAAATAAAGGGATGGCCCCGTGGTGCACTCGGGAGAGTGCAGCGCTTGGGAGCGCAGAGGCGTTCCCACCGCGGGTTTGGATCCTATATAAGGATGGCCGGTGCGCTCACTGGCTGAGCGTGGTGCGGGCGACACCAAGCCAAGGGTTGCATCCCCTTACCGGTCACAAAAAACAACAACAAAAAAATTCAAAATAAAAAAAAGCATCATGAGATCTACAGTGTTACCCCCTCCCAAAAAGGAGGTGGAAAAGGGATTGGATAGGTAAAGGGGAAGAGAGAACTCTTCTATTCAGATGAATGCCAACTAATAAACAGAAGGGCTGACAAAATGAGCATATCAGCATCTTGCAACCCTTTCTAATAACTGATAACAGTATGGATCATCAATGGATCATTAAAACCACTAGATGAAAAAAAGCTGGATAGTAGGACATTCACAGTCTCACCCAATAGATTACTTATTAATCACAATAGGAAAAAGACACCTTTGAACAGAGAAATTTAGCAGATGCCTCCTTAACCAAGTGTGGTAGGCAGAATTCTAAAATGGTCCCCTCCAAATTTCCTGCCCTCAGCTGTGAATATGATGAGATATTATGCCCATGACTAAATTATGTTACTTGGCAAAATGGGTTTTATAGATGTAAAATCAATGTAAGGTCACTAATCGGTTGGATTTGAATTAATAAAAAAAAAAGGATTATCTGAATGAATCCTTAAAAGCAGAGATTTCTCTGGCTGGTGGCACGGTGGAAGTTGAAGATACGTATGAAAAGGGTTCAATGTGCCGTTGCTAGTTTGAACACACAGCGGGCCTGTGAAAAGGAATGTGGGTGGCCTCTTGGAACAGAGGGCAGGGTCTGGCTGACAGATAGCAAGGAAAACAGGGAACTCAGACCTCAAGCCATAAGGAACTAGATTGGTCAAAAACTGGAATGATGCTGCAAGCAGATTCTTCCTAAGAACCTCCAGATAAGAACCCAGCCTGGCCAACACCTTGATTTTGGCCTTGTGAAACCCTGAGCAGAGAATCCATCCAAGCCCATCCAGACTTCTGATCTGCAGAGCTGTAAGACAATAAATGGTTGTTTTAAGCTGCTAAGTTTGTGGTAATTTCTTATACAGCAAAAGAAAACCAAAACATGAAGTAATTAAAGTTAGTATTACTTATAATTGGGTGACATACGTCTACTGATGTGATATACTGACAATACAACTTCAACTGCATTTTATTTCTGACAAAAACATTTAACCTAAATCTAATCATGAGGATAATCAAACAAAATTGAGAAATATTCTAGGTATAATTGTGATAACTGAGGAATTTTGAACATGACCCCTATCTTAAACAGTTGTACTGAAACAATGTTTATTGTGATAATTGTATTACGATTTCATTGGAGAATGTTCTTCATCCTGGGAGAATTATGCTGCTGTATTTAGGGGTTAAGTGTCATGAGGTCTCACATGATTTAGACAAAAAGAAAAAAAAAAGGAAGGAAAGGAAAAAAAAAATACCCCACATATATAGAGATATAGAAAACAAATACGGCAAAATGTTAACAATTGTTGAATCGTGGTGAAGGGCACATGGGGTTTCAATGTACTACTTCATTCAACTTTTCTGTAGGTTTGATATTGTTCTAAGTAAAAAGTTGGGGAAGAACAATTTTTAAAAATTTATTAAGCTAAACAAATGAAACCTCACTGAAAATTTCTATAGAATGTGCTGGTTAACTGTTTCTAATTTTTTTTCTTGCTGTTTATAAATATCAAACTACAAATAGTTTCAGGTGTTAGTGATACTTAAACAGTTTTTACCCAGTGATAAAAGATTTTGAGTAGGGACCCTATCTTAGATACAGGCATACCTTATGGATATTGCAGGTTTGGTTCCAGACCACCATAATAAAATGAATATTAAAGTGAGTGACACAAATTATTTGGTTTCCTGGGACACATAAAAGTTATATTTACACTATACTGAAGTCTCTCAAGTGCGCAACAGCAAAATGTCTAAAAAAAAACAATGTATGTACCTTAATTAAAAAATACTTTTGGGCCGGCCCGGTGGCGCACTGCGCTAGTGCGCCTCTTGGGAAGCGCGGCTGCGCTCCCGCCGAGGGTTCGGATCCCGCATACAGACCGGTTCCCGCTCACTGGCTGAGCGAGGCGCGGGGGCAACACCGAGGGTTGCGATCCCGTTGCCGGTCCGGTACAGGGGTGACACTGAGGGTTGCGATCTGTTGCCGGACACGGAAAAAGACAAAAAAAAAAAATACTTTTATTGCTAAAAATTGCTAACAATCATCTGAGCCTTCAGTGAATTGTAATCTTTTTGCTGGTAGAGGGTCTTGCCTTGATGTTAATTGCTGCTGACTGATCAGGGTGGTGGTTGCTGAAGGCTAGGGAGGATGTGGCAATTTTCTAAAATAAGACAATAAAGTTTGCTGCATCTACTGACTCTTCCTTTTATCAAAGATTTCTTTGTAGCATGTGATGCTATTAGATAGTATTTTACCCACAGTAGAACTTCTTTCAAAACTGGAGTCAAATCTACTCAAACCCTGCTGCTGCTTTATCAACTAAGTTTATGGAATACTCTAATTCCTTTGTTGTCATTATAGCAACAGATTCCATCTAAAGAACAGGAACAGATTCCATCTAAAGAAACCACTTTCTTTGCTCATCCATAAGAAGTAACTCCTCATCTGTTAAGGTATTATAATGAGATTGCAGCAATTCAATCACATCTTCAGGCTCCACTTCAAATTCTAGTTCTCTTGCTGTTTTTGCCACATCTGTAGTTCCTTCCTCCACTGAAGTCTTGAACCTTTCAAAGTCACTCATAAAGGTTGGAATCAACTTCTTCCAAACTCCTGGTAATGTTGATATTTTGACCTCCTCCCATGAATCACGAATGTTCTTAATGGTATCTAGAATGGTGAATCTTTCCTGGAAGGTCTTCAATTTACTTTACCCAGATGCATCAGAGGAATCACTATCTATGGCACCTATAGCCTTATAAAATGTATTGCTTAAAAAATAAGACTTGAAAGTTGAAATTGCTCCTTGATCCACAGGCTGCAGAATGGGTGTTGTGTTAGCAGGCATGAAAACAACATTAATCTCCTTGAACATCTTCATCAGCACTCTTGGGTGACCAGGTGCATTGTCAATGTGCAGTAATATGTTGAAAGAAATCTTTTTTTCTGAACAGTGGGTCTCAACAGTGGGCTTAAAATACTCAGACAACCATGCAGTAAACGGATGAGCTGTCAACCAGGCTTTGTGCCATTTACAGAGCACAGATACAGTAGATCTAGCATAATTCTTAAGGGCCCTAGGATTTTTGGAATAGTAAACGAACACCGGCCTCAACTTAAAGTCACCAGCTATATTAGCCCCTAACAAGAGTCAATCTGTCCTTTGAAGCTATGAAGCCAAGCACTGACTTCTCTCTAGGTATGAAAAGCCTAGATGGTACCTTCTTCCAGTGTAAGCCTGTTTCATCTACATTAAAAATCTGTTAAGTGTAGCCACCTTCATTGATGATCTTAGCTAGATCTTCGGGATAACTTGCTGCAGCTTTTACCAGCACTTGCTGCCTCCCCTTACGCTTTTATGTTATGCAGATAGCCTCTTTCCTTAAACCTCATGAACCAACCCCCACTACCTTCAAGTTTACTTCTGCAGCTTCCTCACCTCTCTCAGCCTTCAGAGAATTGAAGAGAGAGCCTTGCTCTAGATAAGACTTTGGCTTAAGGGAATGTTATGGCTGGATTGATCTTCTATTTAGACCACTAAAACTTTCTCCATATCAGCAATAAGGCTGTTTCACAGCACTTTTAATTTTCTTCAAGAACCTCTCCTTTGCATTCACAACTTGGCTAAACTGTTTTGCGAAAGAGTCCTAGCTTTCAGCCTGTGTCAGCTTTTGACATGCCTACCTTGCTAAGCCTAATCATTTCTAGCTTTTGATTTAAAGTGAGAAATGTGCTACTCTTCCTTTCACTTGAACACTTAAAGGTCATTGTAGAGTTATTAGCCTAATTTCAATATTGTTGTATCTCAAGGAATAGGGAGGCCTGAGGAGAGGAAGAGAGACGGTGGAATGGCCAGTCGGTGGAGCAATAAGAACACATTTATTGACTAAGTTTGCCTTCTTATATTTGTGGTCCCCCCAAACAATTACAATAGTTTCTTCAAAGATCACTGATTACAGATCACCATAACAGATAAAATAATAATGAAAAAGTTTGGAATATTGTGAGAATTACCAAAACACGACACAAAGACACGAAGTAAGCACATGCTGTCGGAAAAATGGTGCTGACTGATTTGACACAGGGCTGCCACCAACCTTCAATTTGTAAAAAACACAGTACTTGTAAATAAGCACAATAACAAGAAGTGCAATAAAACCAGGTATGCCTATTGTATTAAGTTAATGTCAAATTATTTATGTGGTAACTATAAGTAAAATAAGCTATAAGTAAACACTGTAAGTAAAATAATCAATTGGGATAGAATTAGAATTAGACAAAGTTAGTGCCAACACAACACTAGAGATCTTTTACAGGCTCTAAGGAATAAATTTGTTCTTTAGAAATGAATGAGATTTTAATATGTAAGGCATTAATGAAAGTTCTGCCAATTTAGAATCAAACCATGTTAATGCTTACCCCAGCAAGGCTCCAATTATACCACCAGCCACCAGGCCACGCAGGCCTAAGTTTATTCTGAAAAGACTTCCTGTGACAGCTGTTTAAAAACAAAAAAGGCAATATTAATAAAATCATCCTTAAATATTAGAATTCCACTTTTAAATCTCCCTTCTATGAAAAGAATATAAACACAAAAGTAAGCTTTGTGAACCTTACATTAATATACCACTATAACCTAGATTTCCTGAATCTAAAATGCCAATACAGGTAACTTCCTATCTATTCAGCAGATTCAGAGGAAGAAATGGTTCCCTTTTACAAAGATAAATCCCCAGTCTGTTCTATGGATCCAATCTCTTATTCTACTTCATTTTTACTAGTCTTCCCTAAAACATTCTTCCCTTCTACCTTTTTCATTTCTTCCTTCTTCAAGCTTTCCCAAAATAATAATAATAATAATAAAAAAGCCTTCACTAGTCCCTGCAGCTTATGCCTTCCCCTAGCCTGACCCTTTCTGTACTGCCACACGGCACCTCTCAGACAGGGCTGCAAGCAGGCACTATTTGGCCTACAATGCCACCTGGTGGCCACTGCATGGAGGCCTTTCCTTCCCACTGGGATTGTACATCTATGGTGCTCATTCAATTTCCTCTTTCACTATGCACAATGCAACCAATGCCATCTAAGGTGGTGGCATTTTTAAAAGAATAACATTTAGGGACCGAGCCCGTGGCGCACTCGGGAGAGTGCGGCGCTGGGAGCGCACTAGCGCTCCCACCGCGGGTTCGGATCCTATATAGGGATAGCCGGTGCGCTCACCAGCTGAGCACGGTATGGCCGGTCTCAAAAAGGACAAAAAATAAAAGAATAACATTTGAGATTTTATATTTTTATTTAAGTGCTATATATTCACTTAAAAAATTTAATCCCATTATCCAGAGACAGTAATGAGTGGGTCTTTTTTTCTAGTCTTCCAAACAAAATATTTTTAAAAAACAAATTGGGGCCATGCTATATACATACTGAATTTTTTATTTTTACTGAACATAGCAAATTCTGTATCACTAAGTTTTCTCCCACATAATCCCATTCCACGATGTAGCACAAATTTTTGTTCAACACTGAGGTTTTCTATTTATGTATATTTTGAATAAAGGTGTGATGATAATCCTTGCATGAATAATCTTGCTATACATTTGACTGTTTCCTTAAGGATGAACTCACAGAAATGAAATTTCTGGGTCCAAGGGTATGAACATTTTTAAGGGTTTTGACTTAAACTACTAAACTGCTATTTTAAAGCCTTGCACAAATTTACTTCCCATTAAGAGTATGCAAGTGCACTGTGCTTCTGCATTCTTTTAGTTCCTCTTCCAATTCGATAGGCCAAAAACGGTATCTAATTTTAAGTTGCATTTCTCTGGTTAGTAGAGAAAGGTGGTTGTTTTTCCTCAGGTTGACAAATTATGTGTGTCACCTCTGTGAATTAGAAATTTATTCTGGTATACTTTCTTTTTGATGTATCAGGGCTTTTATGTATTACCTGCACACATTGTTTTTGGGCTGTTTACATCTAATGTCTTCTTAGTATTTATGATACAAGTAAGTTTAAAAATTTTATGCAGTCAAGCCTATTAAATCATTTCCTATATAGCTTAATTTTTATGCTTAAAAAAATATATAAAATATATACACACACACACACATTTATATATCTTCCCACCCAGAAATCGGATATATATTTATTTATATATCTTAATCTCTTGTGCATTTTTTAAACATACACTGCATCAATGAATCTTAATTTATCTTGTTGTAATAAATAAAGCTACAATTTAATTTCTTTCTAAATAGTTAATAACTGTTCCAGCCCATGAATTGCCTATTTTTTCCTCATGAATCTGAAATATCACCTATATTCTACTTTAGATATTTGTGTGTGCTTGGCTTTATTCCTGATCCGTGAATTCTGTTCCATAGATCTGTCAATACCCCACTGTTCCATTTATTGTAATTTTATACACATTTTAATTTCTGACAGTTACAAGATTCCCTCATTATTCTTTCTTGAAAATGTTTTTGCTACGCTCATAGAATTAGCATTTTAGCTGTGCTTTAGATAATGTATCTTTTTTCTTTTAAATCTGTGATTTTTTATTTGAATTGCTATGAGTTTATATATTAAGTAGAACAACACTGGGTTAAATGTAAACTGTTTCCTGATTTCTATTACTCTTCTACAATTTGTAATTTTCTTCACAACGTTGTACACTTATTAAAATTATTCCTTATTATTATATTTTTTTTTTTTTTTGTCTTTTTGTCTTTTTCCGTGTCCGGCAATGGATCACAACCCTCAGTGTTGCCCCCGTACCGGACCGGGGACCGGCAACGGGATCGCAACCCTCGGCGTTGCTCCCGCGCCTCGCTCAGCCAGTGAGCGGGAACCGGTCTGTATGTGGGATCCGAACCCTCGGGCGGGAGCACCGCCGCGCTTCCCAAGCGGCGCACTATCCAGTGCGCCACCGGGCCGGCCCCTTATTATTATATTCTTGTCACTATTATAAAAGAAAAAATTTTATTTTTCAAATTATTATTTGGATATAAAATGGCTATTTATATATTTATATTTTACTGATTAATATTTTCAAGCAATCCTTTTAAATATTATCTGCAAAGACAGACACTTTTGTTTCCTCCTATCTAAAAGCACTGCTTTATCCCCTTCTGTGTTAATGTATTTTTAACATTTTATTGAAGTATAATTTACAATACCATGAAATTCACCTAAATATACAATTATTTTTAGTAAAAAAATTTAGTTGTCATTTAGTAGTGCAACCATTTCCACCATCTAGAACATTTTCATCATCACAAAAAGATCTCTCATGCCCATTATCAATTACTCCCTATTCCTAACCACATCTCAGCAATCACTAATTTATTTTCTAGCTGTACAGATTTACCTACTTTGGACACTTCACATGAATGGAATCATACAATATGAAATCTTTTGCGTCTGGATTCTTTCTACAATGTTTTTGAGGGTTATTCATGCTGTAGCACATAACAGTACTTTGTTCTTTTTTTATGGCTGAAAATATTCCACTGAATTGACATACCATATTTTGTTTACCCATTCACTAGCTGATGAACATATGGGTTGTTTCCAGTTTGGGGCTGTTAGGAATAATGCTGCTATAAAAATTCATATATAAATCTTTGTGTGGACATGTTTTCCGTTTCTTTTGGGCAGATTTTAAGGGTGGAATTGCTGAGTTGCATGGTAAATTATATTTAAGTTTTAAAGAAACTACTAAACTATTCCAGGGTGGTTGTACCAATTACATTCCCACCAACAATGTAGGAGGGATTTGATTTTGAAACATTTTTGTCAACACTTATTGTTTTTTTTAGTACAGCCATTCTAGTATGAAATGGTATCTCAATGAGGTTCTAATTTAATTTCCCTAATGGCTAATAATGCCGAAACATCTTTTTATTTACTTAATAGCTATTTGTACATCTTCTTTGGTGAAATGTCTATTGAAATCTTTCGCCAATCTTTAATTGGGTTATCTTCCTGTTACTGGGTTGAAGTTCTTTCTATTTTTTTTTTTTTTTTTTTTTTTTTTTTTCGTGACTGGTAAGGGGATCACAACCCTTGGTGTGGTGTCGCCCACACCACACTCAGCCAGTGAGCGCACTGGCCAGTCCTATATAGGATCCGAACCCGTGGCGGGAGCGTCGCTGCGCTCCCAGCGCCGCAATCTCCTGAGTGCGCCACGGGGCCGGCCCTCTTTCTATATTTTGGATACAAGCCCTTAATCAGATATATGATGCACAAATACTTTATCGCAGCCTTTGGCTTGTCTATTTTTCTTTTTCTTTTTGGTGGCTGGCCGGTACAGGGATCCGACCCTGACCCCGATGTTATAACACTGATCCCTAACCAGCTAAGCTAACCAGCCAGCCCTTCTATTTTCTTAATAATGCATTTCTTTTGAAATGTAAAATTAAAAAATTTTGATGTAGTCCAATCTAATGACCTTTTCTTAAAGAACCGTGTTCCAGTTGTCATATTTAATAAATCTTTACCTAACCAAAAGTCAGACAGATTTACTTCTGTATTTTTTTTCTGGTTTTATAGTTTTAGCTCTTAAATTGAGGTCTTTGATCCACTTTTAGTTAATTTTTGTGTATGCTATGAAGTAATGGTCAAAATTCCCCTCTTTTGCAAGTGGATATCCAATTGTCCTGGCATCATTCAATAAGAAGACTATCTTCTCCCTGACCCCTCATTGAATTGCCTTGGCAACTTTGTGGAAAACCAACTGAACATAAATATAAAGGCAGATTTTTCAATTCTCCATTCTGTTTCACTCATATATATGTCTTTCCTTAGGCCAATACCACTGTGCCTTAATTATTATAGTTTTACTGTAAGTTTTGAAATTGGGAACGACTTCAAAAAATTCAAGGAAAAACAGAATTGAAAAATAAGACAAATCCTTCCATGAACTTTTTGAAGACTCACATAAGTCCTGCAACTTTATTTTTCAAAATTGTTTTGGCTATGCTGTGTCCTTTGCCTCTCCAAATAAATTATAGAATCAGCTTGTTAATTTCCGCAAAAATAAATAAATAAATAAAAGCCTGCTGGGATTTTATAGGGATTGGTCTATAGATCAATTTGGGAAAATTGCGTTTTAATTTTGAATCTTCATATCCATGAACACGGACTGACTTTCCATTTATTTTGATCTTCTTTAATTTCTTTCTCATTTCAACAGTTTTGTGACTTTCAGTATACAAATCCTGCATTTCTTTTGTTGAATCTATTCCTAGTAACTTTATTCTCTTTTATGCTATTGGGTATAGAATTTTCTTAATGCCATCTCCAGATTGTTCTTTGCTAATATACAGAAATACAGTTAACTTTGTATATTGTAAGACCCTGTTGAACTTATTTATTAGCTTCAATGGTTTTCTTGATTCATTAGGATTTTCTACATACAGGATGTTGTGGTCACCTCACAAAGACAGAATAAACCCCCCACCCACAATCTGAATCAGATATCGAGATGCCAAACTTGCACTGAGAGAATATGAAAAGGTTTATTACAGACATAAGGAAGCTTTCTGGGGAGAGCAAGATCTCAAGGATGTCCAAAAATGGCTTGAGAAAGCTGGAAGGGTGACTAGGGTTGACGTTTTATGATGGCTAGAAGGTGGGATTAGAATGAGGATCCCTCATGCAGGCCAGAACATGCATGGTTTAAACCTCCTGCTGGTGCAATAAAGACAGCACCTAGACTTTCTTATAAGCTTGTCAAGATGTGGGGCAAAAAGAAAAGGGGGACTTCTAGTTTCTGGTTTGGCACATAAAAAACTTAGAATTCATCACTCCATCCTAACAACAAGTAAAAAGCTGAACAAATTGAAAATCAACAATTCTTAAATCCATCAGAGAAGTGAGGTCACAGGGTAAATAAACTGTTACCCTCAAAATTGGAAACAGATGAAAATAGAGAATGACAATTTACTGGAGCAGAAACCCCTGTGTAGAAACCTCCATGGGAACCAGTACTGGGATAGGAAAACCTGACTATAAGTGCAGAATTGCTGGGAGCTCAGTGCAGAAAAGTCTAACAGATAAAATTTCTAGGGCATCAGTCATACAGGGCCACCACATTTCAGTGAGTTTTACTTCAGTAGCTCTATCAAGTTCTCACAGTGAAGATCTGAGAATAATCACCTCAGGCTTCTGGCAGGGGGAGGGGAAAACTAAACATTTTGAAATCTGCCAGAGCACTCTGTCTTTCTCAATAAAGCTTGTCCTCAAGATAAACAATTTTATAAGCCTAATCTATTGGGGTTTGCATCAGAGACTAACTGACCTGGGTATAGCCAATGCCAACAAGCTTTAGCTGTGCATGTGGGAGAAGGGAATTACCCAACTCCAGCCCACTCTAGCCATCCTATCCCACCTAAGGGAAGGAAAAAACAGAAAAGCAATTGTGAAGTTAACAGTTCAGAGGCACAGGCTCACTAAAAAGACTGAGGCCTAATCACAAGACCATAGAATGCTTTCCCTCTCCCACATCTTAACCGCCACATTACCAAAGACCTATTTACTGCAGTTCCTTTTACCCAGTACATCATATCCAGCTATCAAGAGAAAAATTGAAAGACATACTTAAAGGCAAAACACAGTTTGAGAGACAGAGCAAGCATTAGAACCAGACTCAGACATGGCAGGGATGTTGGAATTATAAGACAGAGAATTTTAAACAACTATGACTAATATTCTAAAGGCTCTAATGGATAAAAGCCGACAACATGCAAAAAGCCAATGGGCAACATAAGCAGAGAGAAGGAAATTCTAAGAAAGAACAAAGAAGAAATGCTAGAGACCAAACACACTGTTAACAGAAATGAAGAATGCCTTTGGTGGGCTTATTAACAGACTGAACACTGCTGAGGAAAGAATCTCTGAGCTTGAAGACATGTCAATAGAAGTTTCCAAAGCACAAAAACAAAGAAAAAAGATGGGGGAAAAAACAACCCCCCAAACAAATAAAAAAGAGAACAGAATATCCAAGAACTGTGGGACAACTACAAAAGGTGTAACATAAGTGCAATTGGAAAACAAGGAGAATAAAGACAGAAAGGAACAGAAGAAATATTTGAAACAATGATTGAGAATTTCCTAAAGTAAAATGACAAACCACAAATTCAGGGAGCTCGGAAAACACCAAGCAAGATAAATGCCCCCCAAATTATACTTAGGCATATCATTTTCAAACTTCAGAAAATTAAAGATTAAAAAAAAAATTGTGAAAAAAGATGGTGGTGGGGGGGGAATACCTTACCCATAGAGGAGCAAAGATAAGAATTGCATCAGTCTTCTAACTCAGATACCACACAAGCAAAAAGAGAGCAAGCAAAAAGTGTTGAGAGAAAAAAACCACCAATAGTGTTTAATGCCCTCATATTTAATGTTGTTATTACTGATGTGGTTGGATTTAGACTTGCCATTTGAATATTTGTTTTAAAAGTTATTTTCATATTAATTGCTTTAGGGATTACAATATGTATCTTATCACAATTTATTTAATTCCAATAAAGGTGGAAACTCTGTTCCAATATAGCTCCACTCCTTTCCAACCTTTGTTATTACCATCATATATTTGATGTATATATGTTAAAATCCAATAAATGTTATAATTATTGTTTTATATAACCCTATGTATTTTTTAAAAGAAAGAAAGGAGAAAAAGACAAGAAAGGAGAAAAAGTAGGTTATTTTATAGTCTTTCATAATAACCTACATATTTACCATTTCTGGTACTTTTCATTTCTTCCTGTGGATTCAAGTTACTATTTGGTGTTTGTCATTTCCTTGCTTCAATATACCTCCACTCCTTCCCTCTCTTTTGTGATATTATTGTCAAATATATTATTAAATGCTATATGCCCAATACTTCACTTTTATTACTGTTTTATCTGTCTTTTAGATCAGTTAAGAGAAACATATTTTACATAGCCTTTAATAATTACTTACATAACTGCTGTTTATTAGTTCTCTTTAACTCTTCGTACAGATTCAAGTTAGCATCTTGTATCACATCTTTTTTAGCCTGAAGAACTTCCTTTAGCATTTTTGTAAGGCAGGTCTGCAAGCAAGGAATTCTCTGTCTTTGTTTACCTAGCAATATGTTTATTTTGCCTTCACTTCTGAAGAACAGTTTGCTCCAAACAGAATTCTTGGTTGACAGCATATTCCTTTCAGCATTTTATTTTATTTATTTATTTATTTATTTATTTATTTTTTGTCTTTTTCCGTGTCCGGCAACGGTTCGCAACCCTCAGTGTTGCCCCCGTACCGGACCGGGACCGGCAACGGGATCGCAACCCTCGGTGTTGCCCCCACGCCTCGCTCAGCCAGTGAGCGGGAACCGGTCTGTATGTGGGATCCGAACCCTCGACGGGAGCGCCATCGCGCTTCCCAAGCGGCGCACTAGCGCAGTGCGCCACCGGGCCGGCCCTCCTTTCAGCATTTTAAATGGCATTCCATTTCTGGTTTCCTCTGTTTCTGATGAAAAGCCAGCTGTTAATCTTATTGAGTATTCTCTATATACAAGGAATTGTGTTTTTTTCTTGCTGCTTTCAAGATTTTCCCTTCAATATTCAACAGTTTAACTATGATATATCTAGTTGTGAATCTCTTTGTGTTTATTCTTCTTGGAGTCTGTTGAGCTTCTTCATTAATGTGCCGATTAATGTTTTTCATCAAATTTGAGAAGTCTGTGGCTATTATTTCTTCAAATACTTTTTTTGCTTCCTTTCTCCTCTCCATCTGGCATTCCCATCACATATATGTTGGTATGGTGTCCCATAGATCTCTCAGGCTATATTTATTTCTCTTCACTTTCAAAATTCTGTCCTTTGGAAGAGATAATGCATATTGATCTATCTTCGAGTTCACTGATTCTTTCTTCTGCTATCTCAAATCTGCTCTTGAGTTTCTCCTCTCCAGTGAATTTTTAATTCCCATTATTATACTTATCAACTCCAGAATTTACATGATTATTTTTATAATTTCCATCTCCATCAATCTTCTCTATTTGATGAGTCATTGTCATCATACTTTTAAGTAATTATTTAAACATGGTTTGAAGTTTTTTGTCGGCTATCTCCAACAGAGATAGGTCCTATCGGAGACAATTCCCATCGCTTTTTCCCCCTAATTTTTCAATGTTTTGTGATTTTGTTGTTGTTGAAAACTGGCACCTGCTTGTTGGAACATCTGCAGTTGGAACATCCCCTTTCCCAGGGGTACGTCTGTGATTCTTTGCTTATGTAATGACTTGACTGAAGTAATTTTGTGGAGTCTCTTTTTCTGCTGAGTGCAATCCCTGATATCTGTTCTCAGTTTTTATTTTTATGTCTGGTTTCCTAGGTGTTGCACCAGAGCTTAGTACTCAGCCAATGATTCATCAAAGGTTGTGCTAAAACATTTTAAGCCAGTTAGGCTTCTACCCTTTGCCAATGCATCTGCTTGTGGCTTGGGGAATGCATTTAAAGTTCAAGCAGTTTACAAATCTTTTCTGGATTTTACTTTTTGTGTTCACAAGGACTCACATTCAATCAAAGACAAGTAGCTTCCTAGGGCCCTCACCAATCTCTCCTGAGTATGTGTGGATCCTTACACATGTACACAATCTTGCAGAGAACCAGGGTTAAGTAAGATCTTACTAAGGCCTTCTTTGTTCAATTCCCTGGATATCCCTGTTAAAATTCTGCCCGGTCTGCTAGTCTATTGCTTGCCCCAAACAGTATCAAAACCTCAGGTTAACTGTGTGATGTTATCATTACTTGATTGTTTGCAATTGTTTTCAGCAACATCCCAATGCATGAAATTTTCTATGCTCTGCTCCAAATGAAGTGAGCCCCCAGAAGCAGCAGAATTGCTAGTCCTCTCAGCCTGCCTTGCCTTTGTGGAACTTCTGTAACATGAAGCTGGGGCCTAAGGGGTGGGAACTGCCTCAGGCTGAAGTATCACAGACTCCCATTGCCCTTACCTAAATACTTCTCAATTTGTTATGTTCCTCTGGTCAATTTCCAGCATCTTTAAATGATTGCTTTTAATAATTTTGTCCAGTTTTATTGGTGCCTTTTGCGAAGACAATTTGCTAGCCTGCTCACTCAGCCATTCCAGATGTTGAATATGTTTTTTATAAATGTCCAGACAAATGTCAAATAATCATGATGAGGGGAGACATCCTTGACATTACTCTGACTTAAGGGGCAATTACTCTAGCGTTACACTACTAAGTATGATGTTGGTTGGTGGTTTAAGAACAAAATACATATGGTATCAGATGTATTTTTCTATTCTTACTTTACTAATCATTTTACATTAAATAAAGAAATCTTTATTCCATTCAACTATATGTCAAGCTATTGTGATATGAAAGGCAAACACTTCTAAATTCAAGTCAGTCAGTCTTATTGGGGAAACAAAAAAAGTAAGTAGCTATAGTATAGTTTTATAAGTACTTTCATAAAACTATTTATAGTAAATTATGAGAACACAGAGGAAAGACATCTAAGCAGAAATAAAGATAGGAGAATGAGGGCTAGGGAAAACTGCCGCGGGAAGTTCAATCTGACAAATTACGTGGACTTTGAAAGACTGGATGAAGTAGAAAGTAGAAGCTGAACAAAATTAGTTCCAGGAGTGGGGAACTGCCTTCAAGAAGATGGACCAATTCATGTAAAACAAGAATATGCTGGGTTTGGGAAATCCAAGGAGATTTATAAGACTGAAGCAAAAGAGTGGAGCATGGAGGCTAGATGAATAATTAAACATTAAAGTGATGGGAAACTACAGAAGAATTTCAAAAAGAAAAGTGTTAAAAATCATATTCATATTTCAAAAAAAGTAAGTAAGAGCAGAGGTAGAGCACACCAAGATTAGAAATAGGGAAAATGTGATAGTAGCAGTGGGAATAAAGAAGAGGTGACAGATTCCATACATCAGGAGTATACTTGATAGGACTAGAAGTTTGGAAAGAGGGGAATAAAGAGCAGAACCACATCATTCCTTGGTTTCTGAGTTTGACATTTAATAAGACAGATGACAGAGAACATAACAGCAGGAGCAAGTAAGGAAATGGAAGGAGGACGACAAGAGTTTGGTTTGGATATAGGCATTTGAACCTATAGAATACCCATGTAAAAATGTTCCCAAATTTTAGAAGGGCAAATTCTAGTTGCTCCAGTGCTGTGAATGCCTATTTCTAGTTTTATATTTTAAAATGTTTTCATTAAAATGTTAAATTCAAATTATGTATATATGTGTTTGCTTATGTGTATACATATATGTACAGAAAGAGAGTCAACCTAAAAGCAAAAAAATAAAGCAAATGGGGTAAAATATTAACAATAGTTAAATCACTATATGTAAAGGGTATATAGTGTTCCTTGTATTATTTTTATCTTGCACCTTTTTGTAAGCTTGAAATTACTTTCAAATAAAAAGTTTAAAAAATGTTATGTTCAGAATATGTGTGTTTTTGCATGTGAGAGAATGTATATGAGTTTGTAAGTAATTGAGTACATATGGAAGTTAACTTCTTTTACCTTCTGAAAACACTTCATTTCAGTGCTTTTTTTCTTTTTTTAATGCTCATTTAAAAATTTTATTTATTTTTAAATTGACAAATAAAGATTGTATATATTTATGGTGTACAACATGTGTTTTGAAATATGTATATATTCTGGGATGGCTACCTCAACCTATTAATATATATATTACCTCACATAATTATCATTTTTCTGTGGTGAGAACACAACATCTACTCTTAGCAATTTCAAGTATACAATATTATTATCAACTATAGTCACCACGTTATACAATAGATCTCTTGAACTTATTCCTCCTAACTGAAATTTTATATCCATTGACCAACATCTCCTCCATCCACGCCCATGCCCTTGAGCCACTAGTAATCACCATTCTATCTTCTATTTTCAATGCTCATTTAATTTTTATTTTATTTATTTGTTTATTTTGGCAGATGGCCAGTAAAGAGATCCAAACCCTTGACCTTGGTGTTATAACACCATGCTCTAACCAGCTGACCTAACTGGCTGGCCCATTTAATGCTCATTTAAAGGAGGGTTTATCTATTAGAGGCAAAGAATTTTAAAATAAAATTCATACTCTTATGATGAAAAATTTAGTCTTTTCCTACCTCACCTAACCTGTCTCATCTCAAGAATACTTTCCCTCATTCACTGTATTTGAGCCATATTAAGCCACTTCTCAGTAAATTTCTCACCTTAGGGTCTTCTGCCTTGATAGTCCCTCTGCTTAGGACTTCTTTGCAAAGTTTGTCCTTCCCATTCTTCAAGTTTCAGCTTAAATCTCGTTTCCTCAAAAAGGCCTTTTCTGACCACCCTGTCCACTTAGATCTCACTGCCCCACCTATTTGTTACTTTCTATCATATCAACCTGCTTTTTCCCATCCACATTAGACTTTAAAATTCAATGAAAGGGGGCTTCCAGTCAAGATTGTGGAATACATGGTTCCTAGGGTCACTCTCTCCCACAAATCAACCAATTTACAACTCTTAAAAAGCAAAAACAGGAGGACAGAGAGCCACGCCAGAACAGGCAGGAGCTGCGCGCTGCGGGACCCCCAGCCCAGGCCAGTCCCTGCCACCCAGAGAGGTCCGAGAGCCGCTGGGCCCACACGCCCTGAGTCAGCCATGCCAGAACAGGCAGACACCACGGGACCCCCAGCCCAGGCCAGTCTTCACCACCCAGAGAGGCCTGAGAGTTACTGGGCTCACATGCCCCGAGAGAGCCATACTGGAACAAGAAGGCACCGCATGCCATAGGACCCCCAGCTCAAGCCAGTCCCCATGGCCCAGGGAGGCCTGAGAGCTGCCGGGCCCACATACCCCAAATCAGCCATGCCAGAACAAGCAGGTGCCATGGAACCCCAGTCTAGGCCAGTTGTCACTGCCCAGAGAAGCCTGAGAGCCGCCAGGCCCAAATGCCTTGAGTCAGCCATGTGAGAACAAGCAGGAGCTGCGGGACCTCCAGCCCAGGCCAGTCCCTGCTACCCAGAATTGGCAGTCCCTTCAG